CTTCTCATAGTCAGCTTCCCAGAGACCAAACAAGCCTAAATAAATACAGGAAGCCTGAACGGAGCCTCTCACAGAGATTAAACCCCCCAGCTCAGTATTCTTGGCAGCCCAATTTCCGGGACATTCGGTGCTGAGAGCTCTGATCTGTCTTTCCTCTCTAACAAGCTCTCCACCTCACTGCTCCTTCTCAGTGTCTGCGTCTCTAATTCTTCGTGAGCGTGAGACAGAGACTCGGGGTCGCTGCCGTCCCTGCATTGGGAGCTGGGTGCACACCCCTCTACTTCCTGCATCATAATTTTCCTGCATCAATATTAGTTTTTGTTAAGGTTTTTGGCATAGGGTATGTGCTCTTGCCAGAGAGAAACAGAGACAGAGAGAGGGAAAGTAAGAAATCACCCCCCAGGGGGATGGCCAGACCACTATCCTTTCTTCTTCACTGCCCTCTTGAAATTTCAGGTACACATACACGTGCCCAGCATGATTTTCATTTTTTTTTTCTTTTTTGAAAAGGTTTTTGCTATAGGGCACGTGCGCTCGCCAGACAGAAAGAGAGAGACAGAGAGACAGAAAGCACGAAATCACCCCCCAGGGGGGATGGCCATGCCACAATCCCTTCTCCTCCATTCTCCTCTTGGGACCTTGGGCACGCACGCACACGCGCCCGGTGTGAGTTTAAGCCACCGGGTCCGGGACTTGAACCACAGTGGACTATGTGGGAGTCCAGGGACATAGCTATTACGTTAACCGCTGGTCCCAGCATGATTTTCAAGCCACCAGGTTCAGGACTCAAACTGTGGTCAGCCACATGGGAGTCCAGAGCTGTACCCACTATACCACTTGCTGGCCCCAGGGAGTCATATTACTTTTAAAGGAACATAAATGATAATGATCGTTGAGTTCTCAACAGAATCACTGGGCTCCAAATAAAAGTGGAATGATGTCTTCAAACCACTGGAGAGAAAAAGCCAACCTATACTCACCAAAAATATTATTAAACATAGAGGTGAAATCAATCCTTTTCAGACAAAAAAGAAAAACTGAGACACCATGACACCAGCAGTCCTACACTAAGAAAAACTTTTGAAAAAGAACAAGATACAGGATAGAAGCAGAAATGCAGGAAGGACAAAAAGGAGCCTTGAAAAAGGTAAATATTGACTTTATAAAAACAAAAATGGTAAGATCTTACAGGACTTATAATAGATATTTTTTCAAGACATAACTGATCAGTTACAAGTTGGGAGAAGGTAAGTACATTTGAATTCTAAGGCTCTTACATTCTCTCGGATGCAGTAAAACTAATTTTATACTGGATGTTCATGTCGAAAATATATTTTGAGATCTCCAGGATACCTTCTGAGAGATTTTTTAGAGGTTTTTGCCTTAGGTCACATGGACTCACCAGAGAGAGACAGAGACAGAGACAGTGAGAAGAAAAGTGACAAATCCTCCTTCTCCCTACCCCCCAGGGAAGATGGCACACCGCAATCCCTTTTCCTCCTTTCTCCTCCCAGGGTCTCGGGCACACAGGCATACGTGCCCAGCGTGAATTTCCAGCCACCAGGTCCAGGACTCAAATGGCAGTCAGCCACGTGCAAGTCCAGCAACATAACTGCCATGCCATCTCTGGTCCCTGAAAGAATTTTTTAAAAGAGTAACGTAGTAGCTAATGGAATAATTCAAATGTAAGCAAGACAGTAGAAATAAAGAAACATTCAAATCATGGAAATCGGGCCAGCAGAAGGCAGAGAAGTTAAGGCACTGGACTCCCACACGGCCGACTGTGGATCGAGTCCCAGACCTGGCAGCTTGCTTTCTCACTTTCCCCCTCTCTCTCTTTCTGATAAGTACACACGCCGTTTACCACCTTTTTAAAAATAATAAATAAAATGAAATAAATTATTTTAAATAAAAAGAAAGGAAATCAAGCCAGCAGGAAGCATGGAGGTTAAAGTAGCTGAATCTCATATGGCTGACTGCTCAGTTCAAGTTCCAGATGGACAGGTTGAAAATCACGCCAGGTATGTGTCTGTGTGCATGCGCATGCACCCAAGATCCTGAGAGGAGAATGGAGGAGAAGGGATTGGAGTGTGGCTATTCCCTCTGGGGGTGATTTCTGACTTTCCCTGGCAACGGAAGAATTCACAGACTCAGAGAGTGAAAGAGAGAAAAGGGTTCATTCACTTTCCAGAAGAAGGAAGGGGTGGGATGCAGAGAGCTGCGCTGGCCCTGAAGGGTGGGGACTGTGGGCACTTACTGGGTTTTAGAGGGAAGGGGTTTATGGTTGGGTAGTTCAGTCAGTCCTGAGACAGGGTGTCTTTTCATCTTTTACAACATCTGAGTCATTGCGTTGTTGTCTCTGGGTGTCACATCAGCCCCCTTTGCCACGCATTATGGGTGGAGGTAGTTTTTGCACCAGCTGACACCGTATGTAGTGATTTTTATGTGTGAGGGCAGAAACTTAGAAACACAAGAGTCCGCTATCTACCATAAGGGAGAAAAGAAAATACGCCTGAAGCCGCTGGCAGACACAAATGTGGGCTGTCAGATAGTCGTCAAGGTCACACAATGACACCAAAGGACCTGTAAGAATAAAATTAGATTAGCCTGTCTTACAAAGATAAAGTCTAACCTTTGCCTCTTTCGCTTCTGTACTAAAGCAGATGCTGCTGAAGTTGTGGAAACCTGGGGTAATTCGTTAACACCTTGCAGGAAGCCCGGAGCCATTTGCAAACTAGTCTGGCAAGCTAGTTTAGCACCTTACAGGAAGCCCGGACCCTTGTATTGTAAAACTCCCCCCTTCTGCTAGCCCCGGAAACCCAGACCAAATGCTCCTGCAAACCTGACCAAATGGCTACAACTGTAAAGAAAAACGTTTTTTGTCTTGCCTGAGCAAGCAACTTCAGGGTCGCCATAAAATTACCCTTGATACCCCTTATCTTGCTTCCTCACTCTCTCTTCCCCTCACCCCACGGACTCATGTCTATATAACCTGAATACTCCTTTGTTCGGGGCTTCACTCTTAGCCATGTCTTGTATGACTGAGAGTGGAGTCCTAGCGCACTAGCAATAAAGCCTCTTGTATTTTACATCAAGAACCGACTTTTGTGGTTGATTGGGGTCGCCGTTGCCGTAACACTCCCTGGACAAGGAGGTTCAGCGAGTTGCTGGTAAAAACCTTTCAGACCCAATGCCAGCCAAGTGTACAGTTTAAAGTGGTGAAAATAGCCATTTTTAGGTACACTTTTTATTGCATTGGAATAGAAGAAAATAACTGTTGTTTTAATGTATGTATTAATTTAGACCATGTAAGCTTTCAAGTAGAATGTCATTACTCTATGAATGAAGGAATAGAAATAAATTCCTGGCCCAGTCACAGTGGCCATGTGGCTAGGACGCAGTGCTCGCTCCTTGTCCAGTGTCAAGGCAGGTCAGGTGACTATTCTTGTGACCTCTGTGATTAGGGAAACTGAGGCAGGAGGATCAGGCTTGGAGGCTGGCCTGGGAAACACACAGAGAGCCTAGGAAAGAAACTGTAGCCTCAGCAGGGAGACTGAGGCAGGTGGTCTGGTCTGGACACAGGGAGAGCCTGCCTTAAAACAATGTAACAGACCGCGGTTCGCGACCCAGACCCGGTGACTTAAAACTCACGCCCGGCGCATGTGCGTGCATGCCCAAGATCCCGAGAGGAGAATGGAGGAGAAGGGATTGCAGCATGGCCATCCCCTCTGGGGGGTGATTTCTCGCTTTCTATCTCTCTGTCTCTCTCTGTCTGTCTGGCAAGCACTTGCGCCCTATAGCAAAAACCTCTTTTAAAAAAAATGTAAGGGACCCAGCCTTTCCCAGAGTGCTCCTAGGGCTGGCTGGGCTAGATTCAACCTACCTGCTAGCAGGCACTTAAAAGAAATGCAAACCATCTCCTGCTGGGAATGCCCAGAGAAAAGAAGTGATAATAGCTCCAGCAGAGGCTGAAAAGTTTATTCAGCTAATGAGTATCCCAGGCACCTGATGTTCAAGGCCTCCCAGTTTAAGGAGATACAGCCTGGCCAGCAGGTAGCATGGTGGTTAAGGGCACTAGACTCCCACATGGCACACCGAGGTTCAAGTCCCAGGCCAGGCAGCTTGCTTTCTCTCCCCCACAACCTCCCCCCCCATCAAAAAATAAAGTTAAATAAAATAATTCCCAAAATAATAAAACAAAGGTTAAAAAAGAAAAAGACACCTCTCGGCCAGCAGGTGGCATTGGTTGAGGCAACTGGATTCCCACAAGGCCGACTGTGGGGTTGGAATCCCAGTTCGGGTTCCATGTGCGGTGCCCAAAATCCCGACAGGAGAAGGCCGACTGTGGGGTTGGAATCCCAGTTCGGGTTCCATGTGCGGTGCCCAAAATCCCGACAGGAGAGGTTGTCTCCCATTGGGAGATGCTCTCTCGCACCAACCCTCCGTGGAATACACGCACCCCATAGTTTTTTTAAAAATACAGGTATTTTTACGTAGTGGGAGGAACTCGAGTGTGTCCTCCTGGTTTGGGCTTAAGCAGTCATTTGAACTGCGTTTTGAGCGTCCTGTCTTTTGCTGTGGGGTGGTTGGTATAATCCCAATAATGTTCAGAGTTGTATTCCCTGAGAACTGGAGCGAGCTGTTTTATATGGTTTAAAGGAGGAGGACCTGCCCCCAGAGTGATTTCAGGAACAGCCAGCGCAGGCGTTGGCGATGAAGCTTGGAAGAAAGCTGGACGGCGGGGAGAGCAGCCCGTCACCAGCCCGAGCTCTCAGGGTGCCCGTCCAAGCCAGGGGGGTGCGAACTGGGTTTGGGGACCATAATTCACATATATGGTCTGGTTAGGTGTGGCTTCTTACACTCCGTGTCCTTATCGTGTCTCTTTCGGCCTTTTTAGGGTGCGGGGTGGAGCCTTCTTTTCATTGGAGAGATGCCGGCTGCCGGCAAGTGAAGCCGCGGAGGAGGCGCGTCGGCTGCGCAGCGCGCGCTTCAGGGGCACCGCCCGGGGCGCGGGGCCCACGGCGGAGAAGCCGGAAGGACGCCGACATTTCCTGCTGCCGCCAAGGACCTGAAGGCCTGGGGAGAAAGTTCCGCGGGAAATGCGACCGTCCTAGCGGTGAGAGTCAGACCCTGGGCTCCGAGAGGTCTGGCTCCAGGGGCACGAGCCGGGGTGCAGCCTCCAACATGCCCTGCCTGCTCGGCTCCTCTCTGCTAACCGTAACCCCTTAAAACATCCATTTCCCGGAGGGGTCGGAAAGCGGGTAGGACGAATCTGTAGGCGAGGTCGTCCCCGGAGGGCTTATTAGGCTGATTTTTTTGGTCCCCATTCGATCTCAGTTCCATTCGTTCCCTTTCGCTTTTTGGCACGCAGCCCTGCGACCCCCTCCCACTGTGCACCTTCTTGGGCTGCGCCGCCCACAGAGATGACTAGAAGCCGGCGCTGTTGAAATGGTAAGTGCTCTGGGGTGTCGCACGCGGCCATCCTGCTGGCTAGACCAGGTCCGGGTCCCAGGAGTCAAGAGCCGCTGCCTGGGGCAAAAAAAAGAAAAAAGAAAAAAGCCCGACTCTCTCCGCCTGCCCGCAAGGAAAGAAGCCCGAGCGGTTGGTGTGCCCAGACCCAAACGCACCTGTGGTCCAGGGAAAAGCGCGCCTTGCAAAAGTTTCTGTCCCGGGACTTGGCAGTGGCGACGTCTGCGTGCAGGGTTGAGGAGACTGTTAGCTACTTTCACAGAGAAGAGGGGGATGGTGAGGGTGAACAGTGACTAAGGTGAACTGAGACCGCCTGGTGCAGTGAGATCCCAGTATACCCACAGGGTTGCCTTCTAGAGGAGGGACTCCAGGGACTTGGGTTCGGTCCACTGAGCTTATTCTTTTAGGTGAACTCAGACCGAAGTAGAGAAAGTTTATAAAAAGAACAAGTGACATGGGACAAGGAAAGTAGCCCTTGGCGTCTGGATCAAACCCCATGATCTGAATTTGCTGCTTTTTGTCATTAATATGGTCCAGCGAGGGACCAGCAGCTAGCGTAATGGCTATGTCGCTGGACTCCCATGTAGACAAATGGGGTTCGCGTCCTGGACCCGGTGGCTTAAAAGTCACGCTGGGCACATGTGTGCATGCCCAAGATCCCGAGAGGAGAACAGAGGAGAAGGGATTGCGGCATGTCCATCAACCCTGGGGGGGGGGGTGATTTCTCACTTTCTGTCTCTCTCTGTTTGTTTGCCTGGTGAGCACATGCGCCCTATAGCAAAAACCTCTCAAAAAAAAAATATATATATATATAGATAGATATGTATGGTCCAGCGAGGTCCAGGGACCTAGGGCAAAGGTGGGGGTCTGTTTCATTGGCCAGCTATGCCAGGGTATCCATGAGAAAAATAAGTAAAAGCCGGCCTCAGCCCGCTCACTTGAGCTCGTTTAAAATGATGCATTCTTTTTCTTTTTTTTTTATTTATGTTTATCCCCAAGCTAGTGTGTCAGAGGTCATCAGAGACAAATCAGAGCCCTGGTTTCATTGGCTTGCGCCAAGGAGGGAGGTTGCACCCCGGAGGAACCGGCAGACGCAGGAGAAGATGGAGCTGTGACAGACGGGGAAAGGGGGGAACTCGAGGGAAACCCAATGGCAGGCTCTTCCGTCTTTTCAGAAAAGCTCAAAGCTAAGATGTGTGTCTAGTGGCGTTAAATCAGGTCTGGATGTCGCCCTGGAAACGATGCGGTCAGGCTAGATGTGAAATGTGTCTGGAAACTTTTATCTGCAGCTCAGCCCTGAGTTGCAAACCGAGACTGCTTCTCTGTGTCCAAGCGGCTGAGAGCCCCCAGTGCATTCCTCTCTTACTAATAGGATGTCGGGACGTAGTTTTTGACCGACAATGAATTCTAGAGATGAAAATGTCTCACTGAGTCAGAACACAGTAAGAAAGAAGGGGGGGAACCTCAATAAAAGGGTCGTTGTTTCTGCCTGGCTCGGTCTGCATCTAGACCCCACCAGATAAATGGCAGAGTGACTTCCGCATCATGTCACAATGAGAGGCCTGTGGAGTACCTCCAGTTTGTCCCAACACTTAATAATTTATCATAATTTGAACATTTCTTTTTTGTTTTGTGAAAGTCTGAGTTCATGTCGTAGGCCCAGAATAGTGAATACAAGGGAATCTTGGGACCCACCACAAAGACTTTAACTGTTTGAAACCCAAGTAACCTGGTTATATGTTTCTTTTTCTTTTTGATGGGTGATTCTTTTATTTGATATACACATATAAATGGATCAAAAACTATAGAGAAAAATTAAGTTCAACCAAAAATGCAAAACAGGTTTCAATGAGCTTAAATTTCCTGGTATATTACTCCTAACCCTAAGGTTATGCAGTATCCACTTACAGGCTCCCATTTCTGACCCAAGCTAAAGGGCTAGAAAAACTCACTCTAGTCCCAAATAAACACGGGAAGCTATAGCAGTGATGGAACCTAACATTTCCAGGGAAAGTTTGAAGTGGGAAGCCTCTAATCCTACCTGGATACCTGCACAATGTTTTTCAGTGGGTTTCTCGGCATGAGTTCAAACCTCACAAAGAACTTTAAAGACCAGGTCACCCAGTAACACAAGCATGGCAGTAGGTCCAGCAGACTGGAGACAGGGGCCATATCAAAAATGGTGACAGAAATCAAGGACCAAATGCTGCGACTTCCCCTTGTGTCCCATAGTTGGAAGACTAAGTGGTCAGACTCCGTAATTTTCCACTTCTTGGCAGAGGGTCGTTCAAATACATCTCGGACCCCAGCTGCCATTTGTTTAAAGACCTCTGTGTTTGGGGCACTCTCTCGGCCCCATGCTGAGTTGAAGGAGGTGGTGTCTTGATCCACAAGATGAGGTATTTGGTACGGCCAGAACGTCCAAAGTTCTCGCCCTGCATGACGTCAGGAAGAATTGGTTTGTTGAAATGATCCTCCAGAGCAGGTGCACTGAAATCTCTCTGTGTGCTTTGTCTTCACCCATGAAGAAGCCACCCTGGGGCTAACACTTCTGCAAGAACTTGTATTCGGCCTTCACGGCATTGTCGATGACTCTGCCTTTTGCCAGAAGCTCAGCTCATGACTCTTCCTCAGTCAGGTTTTGCATGTGTTCAGTGTCTGCTTTCTCTCAAGTGCTTCTCGATCTTCTCTATCCCTCTTGATTCGTTTTAGTTCCCGAACTTTCCGCGGCTCATATTCCTCATCAGCAGCATAGACCGCATCCAGTGACCGCTCATTCTCCTCCATCTGTCTGGGTCTCGTCTTCTACGACCTGGAGTGTGCACTGCGCCTCTCCTCAGCCGTGCGTTCAGCTTCCTGCTCCAGCTCCTTCTGCTTCCGTGCTTCAGCCTCCCGTTCTTGAACTGTTACTCGGTCCTTCTTTCGAATAAAGGCCCGCTTGGGGACCAGCAGGTGGTGTGGTGGTTAAGGCACTGGACACACCCACATGGCCAACAATGGTTTGAGTCCCAGACCTGGTGGCTTGCTTTTGCTCGCTCTCTCTCTCTCTCTCTCTCTCTCTGTCTCTCTCTAGTCAAATTAAAATAAATTAATGATTTTTTTTAAAAAAGTTTAAAGACCGGGAACCAGCAGTTAGCGTAATGGCTATGTCGCTGGACTCCCACGTAGTCGACCGCGGTTCGCGTCCCGGACCCGGTGGCTTAAAACTCACGCTGGGCGCGTGTGCGTGCGTGCCCAAGATCCCAAAAGGAGAATGGAGGAGAAGGGATTGCGGCGTGACCATCCCCCCTGGGGGGTGATTTCTCGCTTTCTGTCTCTATGTCTCTCTCTGTCTGTCTGGTGAGCGCACGCGCCCTATAGCGAAAACCTCTCAAAAAAAAAAAAAAAAAAGTTTAAAGACCGGCTTATGGCCAGGCCCCATCTCATCTCCGCTGTGCGTGTTCTCTCCACACTCAGACCCTGACTCTCACTCTTCCCCAGAACGTCCCTGGTCTTCGACCCCCATGACTTCCATCTCTTCGTTTGTCCTCTGCTGTGCTCGCTGACGCAGCCTGCCGTGGAACCTTCCGCACATCCATTCCTCCTCCTCTTCCTCACTGCCGCTTCCTCAGTCCATGCACCCAGCATCTCCTTCTACCCAAGTCACTTTCCCCTACCACTTCAGCCCCCCCACTGTCCCACGTGGAGCCAGTCCCCCGCCCACATCACACCGTCACTAACCGTTCTGTAAACGCGGCAGCCGGGGTCACTAGACGTACCTTCCTCTGTTCCTCGGGCTCCCCTTGTTCCTCCCTAGCTTCCTTAATGAACTGAAGTTCCTCATCCTCTTCATCTGGGGACTCCGTGGGGCGTAGTCTGACCTCTTTCTGAACACATATCGCTTTACCTAGACTTTCTCCGTCGAAATGGCCCCTTTCTCATTGCAAACCCGGCAGCTGCTTCACGGGAGCACCTGCGACCGACATGCTGATGGGAGCTGCGGTGATTCCAAATAGTGAGCCAAACAACGTCAACCCACAGAAAACCTCTTCTCCCTCGTCCGCAGATCATGGCTGCACGACTGGTAGGAACTCTCACGGCTGAGTTAGAGAATCCGGAAAATGGTTACGTATTTCTTAACAAGTGGAAGAGGGAGCTGGTTCTGTGGCCTGGTGGTTAAGGTAGCCACATCCCTTTGTGGCCGGCTGCATGGTTTAAGTCCTGGCCACAGTTTTCTAAACAAGCTGGATGGGTGTCTGCTTGCCCCAAATCCCGACAGGATGGAGAAATGGAGAAGGATTACAGCGTGACCACACCCTGGGGGGGGCTCTTTCCCGCTCCCTCTGTCTCTCTGACTCTCTCTGGCAAATGAACAAGACCTCTGGCAAAATAAAAAAGAAAGAAATTTAAGATGAGAACAAAAAGGATTTTTTAAAAGTTATTTTTTTATTTAACTTTATTTATTTATTCATTTTTATTTGACCAGAGAGAAAGTGAGAAAGCAAGCCGTCAGGTCTGGGACTCGAACTGGGGTCAGCCATGTAGGAGTCCAGTACCCTTAACCTCCATTCCACTTGTTGGCCCCGAGAACAAAAAGGATTTTTAAGTCAAAAACCTGAAATTCGGGGACCAGCAGGTGGTGTGGTGGTTAAGGTGCTAGACACTCCCACATGGCTGACCACGGTTCAAATCCTGGACCTGGTGGCTTGCTTTCTCACTTTCTCTCTCTCTCACGCTCTCTCTGTCTCCCTCTGTCTGATCAAATTAAAAAATAAATGAATGAATAAATTTTTAAAAAATAATAATAATTCTTTTTTTAAAAAAAATCCTGAAATTCAAAATGCTTCAAAATCCAAAACTTTTTGGACTCCAGACAAGACACCTTAGGTGGCAAATTCCATACCTAACCCATGCAGTGGGTTGCAGTCAAAACACAGGCATATAGCACATGGTTTAGTCACGTTCCCAAGGAAAAAAGACTCTCGGCCCCCTCCCACTGCATGTACCTTGTGCTCACACATCTAGATTCCCTCACAGCACACACACGGGTCCAGCAGATGCCGAGTAGTTAAGGCAGCTGGATTCTGCATGGCCCACTGCAAGGTTTGAGTCCCGGAGCGAGGCTTGAGAAACTTGCAAAGAATGTGAGGGCATACCCAAATTCCAAGAGGAAGGACAGATGAAGGAGAAGGGATTAGGACATGACCGTCCCCCAGGAGGGGTGCTTTTCTCTCTCTCTCTCTCTCTCTCTCTCTGTCTCTCTCTCTCTCAGGCAAGTGCCTACACCCTCTGGCAAAAATTTTCTTTTAAAAGAAGCACTCCCAGGACCAGCAGGTGATGTGGTGGTAAGGTGTCTGACTCCCACATGGTTAACCATGGTTCAAGTCCTGGACCTGGGGACTTGAAAATCATGCCAGTTGCTAGGACCAGCAGTTGGCGTAATGGCTGTGTCACTAGACTCCCACGTAGCTGACCGCAGTTCAAGTCCCGGACCTGGTGGCTTAAACTCACACCGGGCGCGTGTGCGTGCGTGCCCAAGATCCCAAGAGGAGAATGGAGGAGAAGGGATTGTGGCATGGCCATCCCCCCTGAGGGGTAATTTCTTGCTTTCTGTCTCTCTGTCTCTCTCTGTCTTTCTGGCAAG